GCTTCACATGTGTAGAACATATTACATTTCACGTCCATGCTAATCAAAACAAATTAGGACTCATAAAAGGAGAGTTTGCTTTTTGTTTACAGCTTCCTGTCGTTGTTATGGCCTGAAGGATCTCATTATCGTTTACCCACTGCTTCAGTACAGCTGTTTCCCTTCATTAGTGGGGGATTGTTATGAAAGTATTTTACAGATAGTGTACAACTACTGTGTCTAATGAAGACAAATTTGGAGAGATTGTGTCACGTTAATTAAGAGTTATGTCCTCTCTAGCGGCATTAATTCTTGCTGAAATTCTTAATAACCAATATCTGTGTGTTGTCAAGAGTCTGTTTGTTTCCACCTTAATTATTCTACAATTTATGGTCGAAATTTTTTTCTTCATGTAAATAAGATATTTAATTTCATGTTAATCAACAGTATTATATAGATGGATGTAATGGTTTCATTTTTTGATGAGTTTTATTTTTGATGAGTTTCATTTTTGACGAGTTTCATTTTTGATGAGTTTCATTTTTGATGAGTTTCATTTTTAGATGAGTTTTATTTATGGTTCGCTGTGTTGAAAATGAAGTAAATGAATTCCTTACAGGTTTTAAGAGGAATTGTGACGTTGTCTGGCCGCTATAGTGAACCTATTCTTGAATGGCCATTGTTTGACATGCTTATGCCTTGACGTGAATCGCAGATGAAGCGAGGGCATGGTCTGGTTTAGAACTTGATGTATCAAGTTCCTTTATCAAACATTGATTCGTCTGTGTGTCCATATTCAAAGATTTTTACAGATGAATTCCTCAGAGGTCTCCTTATTGTTCATTCTTGAATTCTGTGCGACAACTAGGTCCCCACATTCCATCAAATGTCCTTTAGTAATCAATTGTCTGTCCATCCATCCACTTTTCTGCACCATGACTTGCTGAAATATTGATAAAGTAGCAATTTCATTGGCTAATTGGATGAAAATCAGGTCAATTCCATAGAATTTGTTTGTTTGGATGTTTCATTGGTTTTATGTCCTTCCAGGTAGTTTGGTTATCCGAGGGAGAACACTATCTTAGAAAGGGAGGTAATCTTATATAGTGACAGTCAGCTAAATTTGTTATTAATTCAAATAATATTAATAATAATTTGATGTTCTTATATACCGCTTTATCACAACCTAAATTGTAGGTTATCATAAAGTGGTTCACAAATTATTATCCGTGGTTATAGGGCCTTTGCAACCAGCCAACATCTTTCTCAGCTCCCTCGGGAGCATACAGCCAGTGCTGCCATTTCGGCGCTCATAGCTACCATTCAACAATTCTAGCACTGCCCAACCACGAACTTATTTACAGCTGAGTAGACTGGAACAAGCAGAGAAAGTATATTTTTCAAAGATTCAACACAGTGCCGTAATGTGACTTGAACCCAAAACCCTTTGGTCACAAGCCCGGCGTCCTACCACTGGACGGACCCACTGCCTTGAAATGATATTTATTCGTTTTAAAAACTTAAGATAAATCTTAGTATTTCTGATATTTGATTTGTCTTAGCAAGCATGAATTTGAAAAATTTAGATCTTGATATTTTATTCAGACTTATAAAGGGGAGGTAATCACATAGTTTTTTTCCTCGTTAAACAGAATCTGCATTTTAAAATGTAAAAAGGTAAAGCAATGCATTATATTTATTTATTTACTTCCAAACTATTTTGGATCATCTCCTTGAAAAGTTAGATACGATTATGATTTTTTTTATCGTAATATTTTATTGAGAATACTGAAATTTTAGAACTATGTAATTGATAGAAATCTACTCTACTTATGTATTCCAATATCAATCATTACACATCTACTTTTCCTCATTTTAAAGCCGCTCTTGTCGAGAGCCGAGCGGCTTATTAATTCTGTCCAGAGAACGAAATGACGGACCCACTTCTGTTCGGGGTGCGTGCGCATAATTCAGTCTTGCATGCTTCCGCTATATAGTTTCGTTATCATAAATAGAAAGTAGAATCTCTGACACTCACCTGTTGGTTACATAAAATCTTCTGAGACACTTCTACAAGTAATAATCCATACTTTAAATAATTGCTGAAAACAAAATGTTTATCTCCGGTGCATTCTACGAGTGTTGTGGTGGTGAAATTCGTGCACTGGGTTTGAGCGTTTTAGCAACTCGGATTGAGGTCTGAGGAGTGTTACGCGTGTGAAACACATAATTCGAGAAAGCACATGTGAAGACTGTCAAGCACTTACGCTGTCTGTAGAAAGAAGAAGTAAATATATATACTTATAAACCGTATTAGTGGTGATGTATTACCTCTATTTTGATGTTTCAAACGGGAACGTAATATGACATATCATACTTAGGTTGATGGCGGTAATGGCTCTGAGACGATATATATGAACTGTGTATGCTTATCAAACATTTTTGTAACACAGCATGCTATTTCTGGTGTATTTATTTATGAAAGTGTAACAACTTAAGAACATGACACAACTGCCGCTGCTGTTTGACAAGGATTCGCGCCGTGTCAAAATATTATCCAATCCAGTGTAAGGGAAATAACTCTTTCGTTAGTAAATCGCATTGAGAAATATAATTCAAATAATTATATTTCAAGAACATTTGTGAGATTTTGTATATTCAATGACAGTTAATAAAGTCACTACATATATTAATAATTATTATTAATATGTATAGATAATGAATAAAAATAAAAGGAGTACAATGTCTTTTCTCCATGTAATTGGTTAGCTTATACTTCTTTTTTGTAATTGTCTTGCTGTAGCCATGACCTCTGACCTCTGTTCTGTAATGACAGGTTATAGCCATGACCTCTGACCTCTGCTCTGTAATGACAGGTAATAGCCATGACCTGTGACCTCAGTTCTGTAATGACAGGTTATAGCCATGACCTCTGACCTCAGCTCTGTAATGACAGGTTATAGACATGACTTCTGTTATCGCTGGTCGACCCTGGCTATGGAATTTCTGTCTGTGTTTGGTGACACTCTAGGGAGGTGAAGTTCACTGCCAACAATTTAGTGGTATCAGATGGTCCCTAATGAAGTCAAATGACCACATTAGCTGGTCCAGTGTGATGTGGTGTCAATCAGAGAATAGACCCAGACACATATATGGCCGATGAATCTGGCTAATGGCAGTCCTATACATCTTGTTCGCAGTGTAAGAAACTCCTCAGGTGTGGCAACTCATATGTAACTCTATGAACAGATCTGTATCTTTGCAAGTTGAAAACATTGCTGTAGTGTATGTCTTATCATTTAGTCCAGACACTGGTTGTGTGTGCAGTTGAAAGTCATTTATCTGCACCATATATGGATCTCTATCTTTGGAAGGTGAAAACATTGCTGTAGCGTATTGTCTTATCATTTAGTCCAGACACTGGTTTGTGTGTACAGTAGAAAGTCATTTGTCTGCACCATATATGGATCTCTATCTTTGGAAGATGAAAACTTTGCTGTAGAATATGTCTTATAACTAAGATAACCTTTCTGCCTCCTTCTCATGTAGAAACAAGTTGACAGTAAACATTTGTTGCCCTTGTGGTAGGGTACACAGTTTTTGTTTTCCCTCAATTAATCATGTTTCATTCAAGCCTGAATAAAACATGATTAATCAAGGGAAACAAAGAATCGTGTTTCCTTACCATAAGGGCAATAAATATTTTATTGTCCCGAAATAGAAAATTAACACAACAGTAAAGGTGAACAGGCTTTACCACCATTTTTGTCTGCTTTATTTAGATGATTTATTTCCTTGTCATGGTTTAATCTGTTTGCAAACAACTCATATGAAGAAGAAAAAACACAATTTTCATAAAAGTGCAATTTATGAAACCATTCTATATTCAATCAAATCCCAGTCAGGATCATAAGAGGATAATATCAGGTATGTAAATGGCTTCCCAGCCCTCTTGAAGCTATATAATAATGATGTCCGTTATAATTGCAAGGTAAATCATAGGCCAGGCTGTATACTTATTGAGGCAACAAGGACATTTCGCTATGGTAACGCCCAAGGGTAAAATCTGTTACCATGGTAACAGATTTGAAAAAAATCTTATTCTGACATATCAGTAATTTTGTCATTAGTCATGACACTGCACTTATATATATATATAAATAAAACCTTTAATGTTACAGTGTATCAAACAATAGATCATTGTATTTTCAATCACTTTAACATTGGTTTGTAGATAAAATGCTGTGTATTGTAGATTTCATATGAAAATTATACGGCAGATTGTAAAAAACGTACCGATCAAAATATTGTAGCTTCTGTAATGATAACAGGTTGACTTTTTTCCGTACCGTCGTTGTGTGCAAACAAAAACAATATGTGCTTCCTGGTCCCCGTTGTCGAATACAGACAACAGAATACTACTTTGTACTGGGAAATGTTTGCGGCAGTTTAACTTCCGCCTTTTATATCATGACAGTGAATTTTAGTATACACCATTTGCTGTATGGTTTACATATGAAGGATTGTCTAATCCCTGTCGTAGAAGCAGCAGAGTCTTGATACTTTAGCAACAGCTGATGGACACTTTAGCTACAATAAATTGACGATTTAACAACTCTACTGCTTATTTCAAATTACCTAGTCACTGAGAATTGTAATGTAAATAATTCCCAAACCTTTGTTGTCAATATAGAAAATATATCTAATTAAACCATCGAGGGCATTGTAACAGCTTAAATGTGTTAGAGCTGAAGAGATTGATATTAGCACTTGACCACTGCTTACTTTTGTCACTGAACCAGGTATAACAAGTTTCGAGGTTGGAACATTGGATCGCCAGTTATCACTTCCTGGATTGTGTACTACTGGTGCTCTTAATTGACCTTGATTCCAGTTGATGATTATATATAACACAAGGGTCTTTATCAAATATACACAGCATGTCCACAGCACAGTGGAATACAAAATATACTGTACACAATATGTTGATCGTAAAATGGAATATTTATTTGTTGTTTCAGGTTGTTGGACAAGTTATTGGTGGTGTGCCCCAATGTTGACTACTGTGAGGAGGTTCTGCCGCGCTCAGAACTGGAGGCCCATCTACTTCACAGGTATGTTTGTTGTGTCACATATACAAGAGATGCTTGTAAGAATTCACTTTATCGGAAGTATTTATCAGTCATTCCATCATGCCATATATGTTAGTTCAGCTTATGGATGGCAAAATTGCTTGGCATGAAGTGACGATTACACATATGCTACAGTAGGATTAGCCCCAGGTTCAAGCTCAACCCCTGGGAACTTATTCCTTGCGTCATAATTTTGCAATAGTTGAGATGGCTACCCTTACACTTTGTGCTTACCACTATTGGCTTAGAGATCTAGTTGTGCATCCTTAAATTTATTATCAATATTATTTTCAATTAAAAAGATTGCTTACATATCCTGGTGAACAACAAATATCAAAGCTTTAAGTGTTATTTTCACTGTTTACAGATGTCGCGGTGCTGTTACCAGGTGTATCAAGTCTAGTCTGGGCTGTACATTCCAGGGTCCCAGAAGTGCCCTACAGAGCCACCTATGGGAATGTCCCTACAGGGACCAAGATGGGGGTAGGTACAAACTCTCCAGTCCACTCAATCATTCCACTACACCACCACATGCACTCCACTACACCAAATACTCCTCAGCTCCGACACAACCACTTCACCCTAAACAACCACTCAGGAATTTGATTATTCTACTGCTCCCAACAGACACACATAACCACTCAACCACCCAACTACTTAACCCAACCCAACACCACTTCTCTATCACTCCACTCTAACATCACACCATGCTGTCTCCACCACTCTACCCCAACCTATCAATCACTCAATTACCACTCCATTTCCATAACAACCATTCCAACACTCCATCTCCCACAAAACCTTGCAAACACTCAACCACCTCATACAATCACTTAAACACTCCATCACCCCCACACAACCACTCAAATGCTCCATCATTCCATCTCCCTGACAACCACTCAAACACTCCTTCAACACCACACACAACCTCTTTGTAACTCAACTGTTCCACAGCCCTGACACAAACAAACAACTACTCAATGATTCACCAATCCTCAACCCAACACAACCATTCCACTACACACCAATCTCCACACTGGACCCACTCAGTCACTTCAATACACCTCTCCATCAATCTGACAAAGAGATCATTTCTTATATCCTATCTTGGATATGACATTTCTGTGATGAATACTATGGACAAATAGTTAAATTATTACTCTATGTCCTGACCTTACCTGTAGTGTGTTACCTGTGAGGTTTTTACCTGCTACATTGATTGACATGTATCTCTGCCCTTTTGTCCTGTATCACTGATGTCTGAGGTAGTTTTCCTTGATTTACACTGAGTGGAATGATAATGGAGGCTGTTAAACTGTCACCAGTAAATAGACTTCAGTATTGTCAGGACTTCACACACAAACATGGATACCTTTACAAAAAGTCAGGATAGAAAATCTCTACAGAACATTACTTTACGTAGAACCAGGATAGAAACTCTCTACAGAACATTACTTCATGTAGGACCAGGCTAGAAACTCTCTACAGAACATAACTTTACGTAGGACCAGGCTAGAAAATCTCTACATGACATAACTTCACGTAGGACCAGGCTAGAAAATCTTTTCATAACATAACTTCACGTAGGACCAGGCTTGAAAATCTATACAGAACATAACTTTACGTCCGACCAGGATAGCAATTCTTTAGAACTTACATTTGAGGGTAGTCAGGGGAGCAGTGGATAGCTCACTCACCTTTCACCAAGACGGCTGAGGTTCAACTCCCTGATCAAACATGAAAAAGATGATATATGCTGAAAAAACTTCTTTATTATTTTGTTGTTAAATGAATAAGATTTATATATTCTTTAGAACATATAGCATCATGATAGAGACCCTATAGAACAGTAAAGGATGTTGTTTGTGATCCCCACTAAAACTGAATACTGTATAATGGGAAACTTTTCCCCGGTCAAATTGTGTGCCATTTACTGGTAGAATCCATTTTCGCGCAGCGTTAATTTTCGCCTTGACATGTTATTCCAATGTATAGTATATCGTGTACTTATTTTCAATGTTAAGTTGGTAAATTTGCCCTTATTACGAAGGGCAAAAAAGGCGAGAGTTATACAGTACCGTCTTCACCTCGTCTGTTTAGATCCAATGACACATTGTGTTTTAACATAGCCAACCTTGCATACAGATACCAATGGATATTGGCCAAATATGTTAATACAAAGTATTCTATCATTAATTAGGTTAAATGTGAATCGTAGTAAATATTTGATGAGGTCAGTATGACCAGTTCCTGAAGTCTGATTGTCAGCCAAATCTAGAGACATGTTGTCATGAATTTTACAATATAGACTTGTAGCCTCTACAGGTACAATTTCTACAGCATATATTTGATGGCTTGTGGGGAGATTTCTCAACTGCTAGTAGGGATGTTGAGGTTTTGATTGGGAGGTTTTCATCACAAGCACTCTTTTACCAGAATCTGCATTATAAATTTGTTATGTTGAGCAATATTTATAAATTAAGACTTGTTTATCATATTTTCCAATCACTCACTGCATGATCCAATACTTTCAAAACATAAGAAAATCATGTACTTTTGGTGTTTATAGACACATTTTTAGAAGTTTGGAAGGAGTTTTAAATATTACAATCAATTGAAGGGAACTTCTGATTCTTAAAAGGGAGTTTCATTTTTTTCAAGGTAAAATACTGGGAGACTCCATCAAAGATATGGAGATATCACATGTATGCTACAGGTAATATACAGGTTTTGTTTAGAGGGAGTTTTCGTTTTTCAAGGTAAATAGAAGGAGTCTCCTTACAAAATACAGAGGCATCACATGTGTGCTACAGGTAATATTTCTGTATATTTTTCTGGCCTGTATAAATGCACAGCCACACCGTGTCGAACCCGGGACCCTCTGAACTCTAGACCGATGCTCTACCAATTAAGTTATCTGGTAGCCAACGATCGACCCAGTCCAGTTCTGCTACATTTCTCCCTCCTTCAACAAATTCTTCGACCCCGAAGACACATTAGACCCTATACCACCTTCTGTCAGTATATTTCGTTGGGTGCCAAATGTAACAGGAGAGGAAAAATGCACGGCCAAATCGGGGTTTGAACCAGGGACCCTCCAAACTCTAGACGAATGCTCTACCAATTGAGCTATCTGGTTGCCGACGATCGACCTAGTCNCGAACCAGGGACCCTCCAAACTCTAGACGGATGCTCTACCAATTGAGCTATCTGGTTGCCGACGATCGACCTAGTCCAGTTCTGCTACATTTGTCTTCATTTTTTAAATTATTTGCTTCATAAAGTAATGCATTTACCTTGTTCATCACACAAAACATGTATATTTATGTAAGTGCATAGAAGTTAACCGGTAAAAACACATATCTATATATACATGTAGCAACATAATGATTTCTACATAAAAATCATTTTTATTATGGTATAAAACTGACTAAAGGTTTAAATAAAATCCTAACAAAACGCACCAACTTTATAGCCGGTTTCCACGATTTCATTGACAGACTATAAAGCCATGACAACATGAATGAATTACGGGGTCCGTCTGGTACTAACTTTATATAGAAAATGTCGCTAAAACAGAAACCCACCACACCAGCAATGTTACGCTTGTAAGAAATGCCTGCCTTGTACTAATAAACATGAATGGGATCGGGAGACCTCTGCACGCCATCACACTTGGCCGTGTTGCTATAAGGGGAAGTCACGGGGAGGGTCCGCCTGTGTGGGGTTCATCAAGATAAACTAGCTGCGTCTGGGAGCCTGCAAGGGACAAAAAATGTTATTGGCAAAGACATTCATACCACGCAGTTAAAAAAAACGTATTGTTGGTGCTGGTTTGTTTATGCGAATTTGTCATACCACAATGGCCTGGCCATCGACTGCCATTGATTTCAGGGGTAATGGGTGCATTCTTATGTAAACCACTAATGCGGCGCTTACACTCGTAAATCGACAATCTTCTGTCTATGTTAGGGAAAAAACAAATATTTGTAATCTAAAGTTAGCTTGCTGTTGCATAAGAGCAACCCAATGAAATCTGCTGTTGTAATGGACAAACTAAACAAATCAAGTTATTTATTGTTTAGTTATATTTGCACGAAAGAAAATTATTGTTCATCTCGGGAAAGATAAGGCTGCTTCCATTCATCAGTATTTTTATTCTCAAAAGAATTCGAATTTAAAATTCTTCAGATGCAGAAATGCTTTAGATTTTTTGAGACGAGAACCCCTATTGTAAATCATCTACGGGGTTAAAACATTTACCCTTTCACCACTGTCGACCATAATGGACTCGTCCAGATTAATGCATGGTTGAGTCTACTCAAGTTACCTAGGGGTGAAAGGGTTAATAAGAGCTCTACCACAACCCTTCAAAGCTTACAGATCCTACAAACATGTAGAAGTAACCACCAATTCATAAAAAAAAAAAACTGTACCAGTTGGTTTCAGAGGGGAACATGTCACAGATACGCCATCCTATAGTTAATAGACAGTTCCTGGTAAATGGAAAGTATGTGTAAATGTTTAATGGTAGCAGATTAGCGTGGTCACGTACATAGAGCTTAAAACAAATAAAAGAGTTCGGTTCAATTCTTCTCTATCCCGGATAATTGTGTAACCTGGATTTCTGAAACATCTGAGAGCAAAACAAGGTCGTATCTTTGTTCATGTCTTACTTTCTCATACTTCTGTTGAAATAAAATGACCGCATATTTCCAGCATTAAGCCAATGCCTGATAAGAAACACACCCATATAAATTGCTGTAAAATAGAAATAGAAATAAATACTATTATAATAAAATCTTTATTCATAAAACAAGTTATATCGACTTATAGTTGCCATTCTTGTTGGCCCTTATCCACTGTGCCACCTGAAAACTATTTCATTGTCCTGTAATAAGCCCACCCCTGACTTTGAGTCAGAATTACGTGTTGGGCCCTGGCCTTTTTGCAGGATATATATACAGTATGTTTAAATCTCTCAAACTTAAGTTCAAATATTGTCTGAAGTTTTAAAATGGAAAAACAAATAAAATAAAATATGGCAAGATTTCAAAATTGAAAAAAAGTTTTTGAGTCCTTGGTAGGGTTTCAACAGCTCTAGAGTGTGCATTCGGAGGATTTGTGGACCGTTGATAGGAACTCTGCACTCCGTGATTCGTAGACAGAAGGTTATGATTTTGATCCTCACTTCGATCATATATACCTACACTTGTATACCACACATGAAATACTGTTGTCTCTTTGGTTGGTGATCACCACTGTCCATCACAGAAGCAACAAAAGAGAACATGAATAAGCGGCAGACATAATAGTTATGCTTGTATCCATTTGGCACACAAAACAACCATTCTTGGAGACACGAGTCTCGTTGAGGATTAACCACTTCAATTTGCCTATAAAGCTGTGATATCTGTCATGTGATAGAACTAATGTTTTAATATTGACGCCTGCTGAATTGTCAAACAATTAACGTCTCACGATACCCTTTTCCTTTGTTTTTACTTTATCCTAAATAAAACCACACACTAACATGACCGAATTAATGCTAATTTAAAATATATTTTTTTTATTCTAAAGATTTTCTTTTTAAGAGAATCTAGTATTGATTAATTGCTTTTGTCAATGTACCCTTGAGATAGTATCTAGAAGTTTGATGATGATTAAAAAGGCTTAGTTTATCCTAATTCAAAACAAAATAAAGTGATAAAAAAGTTATGAAGAAATGTTTTTTTTGCTCCCTCATCATAGTGGATGAAGGTATGAAGTGTTTTGTCTTTCTATTGCCTCTTACATCTGTCCAACATTTATCAAACTTCATGTATCGAACCATCATGTGGAGTAATACAGCAGTACCGTTGGATCAAATTATGTCACAGTGACCTATATTTTCTGCTTCATTAACTGTAGTTAGCCTTTTTTGTGTTTAGCTCCTTTACTTTAATACTGGATGTCAAATATTCATCAAATTAGCTACATTATTCTTATACTGGAAGTGTAATAAACTCTCTATATTGGTTCATCTTGTGGAGTACTACAGCAGTACTGTTATATCAAATGTAGGTCACTGTGACCTATATTTTTGCTACATTAAATGTGTTTTGGGTTTAGCTACAGTATTTTTATGATGGATGTCAGTTGTCAAACTTCATAATTATGTCGATACTTCATAAGGAGTACTACACTGATATATCAAAAATAGGTTGCTGTGACCTATATTTTTCACTTCACTGATTTTTGCTAGACTTTGTTCCATTGTTTTGGTTATATTTTGCATTCACAGTTTAATTCCTTCACAGATGAATCATATCTGCCAACCCTGGACATACTGAAAGAGGGTTATGACCCTCTTTTGAAAATTAAAAAGAGGGTCATAGTGCGCGACGGCTTTTTTCGCAACAAATATAAGAAAAATAGATATTAAATTATAACTTAAATCTACTTTCATTGAACTGTTCTTCCAGCAGATCTAGCTGATCCTCATCAACAATACCAAATTCAAAGCTGAAAAATAAAAAGATTTGTCAACAACACAACTTATAAAATTAATTCATATTAATATATATGATACTGTGTTTTCACAGGCATTTTTCATGTCAATTGAAATGGTCCCGACAATAAGATGTCACATTCTGCTCATATAAAATACCATTTTGTTGAAAATGGTCCTGACAACAAGAAGTTGCACCCTTCTCACATAAAATATCAGTTTTATACGAGTAGGGTTTGAACTCTTATTGTAAGGATCATTTTGATTGACAGAAACAAATCATCAAATGCCTGTGCGTGTTTTTGACTAGAGTGCAGAATGCAGCGTTTGGTCCACGACCACGGGACTTTGTACACTATAACTCATTTTCCTACGACATTTGATATGTGTACAATTATCTTTTCTTTTAGCAATTCGTGTAGTAGAACCTGCAAGTCCCGATAAAAACTTCTTCCTTCAAGAAGACATAACGTTACCTTCAAAATACGATCTATTCTACGTAAATACAACTCAATTATTCGTTAAAAACCTGACTAATAACTTGTCGGCAAGTTCAGTAACAACGTTCTTTATATAAACATTTGTAAAAACAGTTCTAGTACGTATATAAACAACTCACAACTTACCTGTTGGTGAGAAACGGAAACAGGAAATAGATCGTCTTTCTTGTGAAGAAGGATGGAAAAGTCTAGAGAATTCTGAGTGACTTCGGTAACTTCTAATATACGAAAAGATTCCGGGTGAAAACGGGTGAAATTGACGAAATCCGGGTCAAAATCGTAACCCGGCGGGTGAAGTTATAAAAGCGGGTGAAGGGCTAAAATCCCGGGTGTAACCTGACGAAATCGGGTCACTTGGCAGGTATGATGGATTTGGCGCATATGTATGTTTCACAAATATTTTCTAGTTCAGAAATAATCATAATGAAAGATATTACATTGTAATTGTGTTAAGGACTTTTGACCCTGCCTTGAATATCCTACTACAACTTATTTCAATTTTCTTTGTCACATTAGTTTCGTAATTATGTATAGGGCAATTGATCAATACAGGGCTGCAAAATGAGTCAATAAGGATCGAATCACTCACAAAGATGGTTCTCAAACTTCTCATTGTACTGTAATTGAGAATTCATTTTATTGGCAGTTCTGGCTTTTTTTTTTTAATTGTTCACTTACTGATATGAGTTGAGTCATCAATGTCTTGTTGGCTTTTCCACTGATGCTTATTTAATATAATTTCAGCTCTTTCACTTTGACTTTAATTGTTTTTGCATGTGGAATATCTTTCAAAACCATAAACTCAGACAATATTCCAGAAATAACAGAAACATCTTTTAATCAAGAGTTTACCCATTCACCCCTACATATTTAAACTGGACTTGTCCAGTCTTTGATTTGTTCAGGTTCAAATGTGATTTTAGGGGTGAATGGGTTAGGATATTCTTTTTGTTCATTTCAACAGGCTATAGGCCTATATCAATTTTCTCCTTTATTTCGTTTAAGAATTGTGTAATGTTCTGCTAGAAATATTGCTTTTATGAGCTATATTCCTCTGTGATTCATCAAATATGATTTTGAACGTGATGCCTCTTACTGATCTAATTTGAAACATTGGGACCTGGGTTAACAGGAACGCTTATTGCTGTTGGAGTGACATACACTTGTGGTGTGATGCAGAACTCTCTTGGTGCACTCGGACTCGGGGTGACTGGGTGGACTATTGAACATGATGTCATGTTTTTGTTTTTGTCAGAGATGGGGGTTAATCGTTATCAGCGTAGTGTCAGAATCAATTTCTTCGTGAGTAATGCTTACACTCACCGTCAATGTCCCAAATTCACTTTTCGGGATATCTTGCCAAAACAGTTAGAGAGTGACGTGACTCCCCGTGTATATAATGGAACCAGACTTTTACAGTTGATCACACATGCGTTTTACTTTAACCCGACTGACAATGACAAGCTCACATTTGGAGAAAAGCCTTACCCGGTCCAACAGCAGACGGCAACGCAATATTACCAAGGATACACTTACAGAGATGGGTCCAGACATTATTCGTTGTGTTCACGATCATGTTTATTTCCTCCTCACAGGCAAGAATCCGGTGATGGATGGTGAAGTGTCCACCATAGAAATCCAGCGCACGCAGGCCGACCTGGGCATCAGTGTGGTGGGTGGCTGTGACACGCCCCTGGTAAGTATCCTTGACAACGGAACTAGTTTCACTTGTCTTGTATACTGTAAAATCACTAATTTTGTTGGGTTTTTAATTTTGTTGATTCTAAATACAAAGTTATGTCCCTTTGTTATTTTTTTTATTTTCATCATTTGTCTGAAGGCGGGTATTATGGACTTTAATAATTTGCCTTGTTCTTGTCAGAAATTCGTTGTCAGTTTGAGTTATTTTTATTTCTTGGTTGTGTCTTTGCCTTTGACATCTCATTAATGTATCACGCATTGACCTTTATTAGCATGTTGCTGGTGACGGCATGCTGTGTCTCCCCTTACAAACAGGACCTTTTTACACGTTACATGTTTTATCCATCAATCAAGAAGCCCCATTACTCAACAGTTTGTATTGTACAAAACCCACCACCAGATCTGCATAATCCCTTATCAAACCAGGCAATCTACGGTGATGAAGTGAACTGGGCCGGCGCTTCTAGAAAAGATGAATGGTCGAATTATTATGAAGCTATTAAGCTACATCGACTTGCTACCTCCTGTGTAATGGGCCGTATTGTAGTACTCCAAGTGTGGATAAGGGTCTTTCAACTTCCCATCTCTTGATGTGCTTTCCAATTTCCTTGTGTAATATTTGCAGCATTAGAAGTCGTCCTTTTTCTTGTGATGTTAACGGGCATTTAACTTGATTACCAATACAAAGTACTTCCTGACCTTATTTCTCGTAGCAGAGGTTGTATGCTTTCTTTGTTCTATCTACCAGATACAGCCTTGACGAGACCCGGTCCTTTTTTATACGCCAGCACTATGTGGGGCACATTACGCTATGGCGCTGTTCGTCTGTCTGCAACATTGTGTCAAGTACCATTTTCCTAGAACTTGATTGTACTTCAAAGCATAGTCTTTCATCACCAAAGATTGCATCATGACCTTCGAATCAATGTCATTACTCAAAGGTCAAGGTCATAGAGCATTGACACCAAAAATACTTGTGCCGTAAATTTGTACCAGTTGGCTTGAACTGATTGAAATATCATATCTTTAAATTCAAAGTGATTGAGCATGTACATTTAAAATGAGTCTCTAGTCCAGATTTCTTTACCAATTGGCTGGATGTTAATCAAATGTTACAGCAATGATGCCCAGTAAGAGCTAATCAACCCGGGGCTTTGTGTTGCATTGGCCTTCAAGTTTCACTTCAATCTCACTTATCTGTCAGATGAAGCAAATTTTATTGGTACACAATGAATCACTCTGTGTTATTGAACCAAGAGGTGTCTTTTCCACCTATAGAAACCCCGAAATTGTTCAAGCTTGATATTTACCAGACGGCAACTACGAATATTACTAGGATTAAATTTAAAATCTGTGTCCGGTCTTAGCATCAAAGTTGTCTTTAAATGTGGTTTTAAGGAGTTTTTTCGTTGTTTTAAATATTGCAATGTTCTATGAAATGATATTGTGTTTTTAAAAAAAATGGTTCCATAGAGGTTGGCAACCCTGACGTAACCTCTAATCACAAGTTGATTTTGATACATATCTACAGAAAATTATACTTCCCTTTTTATCCAGAAATAAGCCCATGCCTGGTAATAAGCCCAACCTATACCATGTGTCAGAAATTGTGTTGGCCCAGTGGGCTTATTAGAGGATAAGTACAGTATACCAATTGCTATATTTCAACTCAGTTCCTTGGTTTTTATCAGCTTAAAAGTACTCTCTGAGATTTGTGACAATAGCAGTTGGTTGTATACTTGAAATCTGTTTATGATTCCTCTTGCAGGAGTACTGTTGGAGTCTCCTGAGAGATTCAAGAATGGTTTAGGTCCAAGTTTTTCACCGATAAACTGGACATGGTGGTGTAAACCATAGATGGTCCAAAATGTACAAATCGTACCACAGGGAGAGTAAAATGACTTTCCTGTCAGTAAATACAGATAATTTACAGCTTATGAATTGCCATTCAAAATGTTTTATGTTTTAGGCCTGCATTGTGATACAAGAGATATTCCCGGATGGCGTCATCGCTAAGGACAGCAGGCTGTTGCCAGGTGACCAAATACTGGAGGTGAGAATGTTGTTTATGTTTGTTGCCATGAAAATGTTTAAAAAAGCCTCATCATACCGGTTTTGTATGTAAGATGAAATTTTGGAGAGGGCCTAATAAGTTGCGAAAACTTTCACCTAATCCCTTTGATTGATTTAAATCAACAAATATATTTCAATGAAATAAAATAATTTGATCTTGATGGGAAAAAAATCAGAAAATGAAATATTTATGAATCAGCTATGCGTTAGTTTATTTTGCTAGTCATATAGCTTTCAAAGTTAACATTATGCAAAAATATCTGTGAACAAAATATTTAAAGCTAAAACAGATTGCCTTGGGGGAGATTTTAAGGCTCACATATCTAGAATGGTATTCGATTCATTCTTCCAATAACAGACTTTTATAAAAGATAATAAAAACACAAAGAAATCATGTCACTAAAAAGGGGTCGTTGAGTACATACTGACCCAAGAAACCATGGCCAGTAAGTGGAGGTCATTGAGTACATACTGACCCCAGTAACCATGGTCAGTAAGTGGAGGTCATTGAGTACATACTGACCCCAGTAACCTTGGTCAGTAAGTGGAGGTCATCCAGTACATGCTGACCCCAGTAACCATGGTCAGTAAATGGAGGTCACCCAGTACATACTGACCCCAGTAACCATGGTCAGTTAGTGGAGGTCATTTAGTACATACTGACCCCAGTAACCATGGTCAGAAAGTGGAGGTCATTGAGTACACACTGACCCCCGTAACTATGGTCAGTTAGTGGAGGTTATTGAGTATATACTGACTCCAGTAACCATGATCAGTAAGTAGGGGTCATTGAGTACATACTGACTCCAGTAACCATGGTCAGTACGTGGAGGTCATTGAGTACATACTGACCCCAGTAACCATGGTCAGTAAGTGGAGGTCACCCAGTACATACTGACTCCAGTAACCATGGTCAGTAAGTGGAGGTCATTGATTACATACTGACCCCAGTAACCATGATCAGTAAGTGGAGGTCACTGAGTACATACTGACCCCAGTAACCATGGTCAAAAAGTGGAAGTCATTGAGTACATACTGACCCCAGTAACCATGGCCAGTTAGTGGAGGTCACTGAGTACATACTGACTCAAGTAACCATGGTCAATAAGTGGAGGTCATTGAGTACATACTGACCCAAGTAACCATGGTCAGTAAGTTGGGGTCATTGAGTACATACTGACATCAGTAACCTTGGTCAGAAAGTGGAGGTCATTGAGTACATACTGACTCCAGTTACCTTGGTCAGACAGTGGAGGTCATTGAGTACATACTGACCCAAGTAACCATGGTCAGTAAGTTTGGGTCATTGAGTACATACTGACTCCAGTAACCTTGGTCAGAAAGTGGAGGTCATTGAGTACATACTGACCCAAGTAACCTTGGTCAGTAAATTGGGGTCATTGAGTACATACTGACCCCATTAACCTTGGTCTGAAAGTTGGGGTCATTGAGTACATACTGACCCCAGTAACCTTGTTCAGTAAGTTGGGGTCATTGAGTACATACTGACCCAAGTAACCTTGGTCAGTAAGTTGGGGTCATTGAGTACATACTGACCCAAGTAACCTTGGTCAGTAAGTTGGGGTCATTGAGTACATACTGACTCCAGTAACAATGGTCAGTAAGTTGGGGTCATTGAGTACATACTGACCCAAGTAACCTTGGTCAGTAAGTTTGGGTCATTGAGTACATTCTGACCCAAGTAACCTTGGTCAGTAAGTTTGGGTCATTGAGTACATACTGACTCCAGTAACAATGGACAGTAAGTTGGGGTCATTGAGTACATACTGACCCCAGTAACCTTGGTCAGTAAGTGGAGGTCATGGAGTACAAATACTGATCCCAATAAGCAGTGGTCAGTTAGTTAGTAGAAGATAACTTATTACATTTTTGTTGGTAACTGTACACTTCCAGAACAGTCACTTGTTCATCATTTCGGACGTTAAACTGCTTCTTCTAACCTACTGAAATTCTCAGCCTATTTCCTAGTGTCAGCTTCAGAAAAAAGTTTGTCAAAAATCAAATAGAAAAATATTGAAACGGTCACAGAAACCTGTCTGTGGCATGGGATGCAAAATGATCGCAATCTGATGAACAACATGAAAATACATGTATGTGTGAACAGTCATGAAAAAATCAATTCCGTTATTGTTTAAATAATGTTTGGTTGAGCTTGACTGTTGGACAGGTTTACATGTGCAGCCATTAATTATTCACTATAATTGAAACCTGGAGCAGGAATCCTGAACACTTAGGCCCAACTTGTGGCCATATCTTCTGTTTTCCCCATCGAGTCACACTCCGAGATTCCAAAAGTACACTTTGTACATCAGCGCAGCCATTAACTGCCTCCCTCATATGATGGGAAGTCCTGCCACTTCTTCCCTAGGGCTACATACTGGACATGCAGTAGAATAAAGGCTTGCCCTAGTACTACCGCACTTTACCAGCGATATGCACATGCCGGTTTAAACCACCCTCTTTCCCCCTCCTTCCATACATTTGGGGGATGCCCAGTTATAAGCCCACCTCTTTCTTGAGTTCTTAATATTTTGAATATTGGTGCAGGTATCATAAACTCTTTCACCCCTAGGTAACTTAAGTAGACTCTACCATACATTCATCTGGATGAGTCCACTATGGTCTACAGTGGTTAAAGGGTTAATTGTATTGGATAAAGTCCTTCTATTGAAGAAGTCAGCTCTGATTTGGTTGAAGTTGTTTATACTTTCTACTCAAAAAAACTTTTGATGGGAGACCACACCATTCACCATACTTTCAATAAAATCAAAATTTAATATAGATAAATGAAAATGTTATTGATGGATTCATTAAAACAGGTGAATGGAGAAGATTTGACACAAGCAACACATTACCAGGCTCAGCAACTTTTAGGCCAGTATTACCCTGTCTGTAGGCTGACGGTGTATAGGGAGAAAGCTGAGGAGAGTCGTCCTATAGAGAAGGAGGTAGGTCACTATATATAGGTCACTGCTACCTAGTCTGTAGGCTGACTGTATAGGGAGAAAGCTGAGGAGAGGCGTCCTATAGAGAAGGAAGGGAGGTCACTATATATAGGTCACTGCTACCTAGCCTATAGGCTGACTGTATAGGGAGAAAGCTGAGGAGAGTCGTCCTATAGAGAAGGAAGGTAGGTCACTATATAGAGGTCACTGCTACCTAGCCTGTAGGCTGACGGTGTATAGGGAGAAAGCTGAGGAGAGGCGTCCTATAGAGAAGGAAGGGAGGTCACTATATATAGGTCACTGCTACCTAGCCTGTAGGCTGACTGTATAGGGAGAAAGCTAAAGAGAGTCGTCCCATAGAGAAGGAAGGTAGGTCACTAAATATAGGTCACTGCTACCTAGCCTGTAGGCTGACTGTATAGGGAGAAAGCTGAGGAGAGGCGTCCTATAGAGAAGGAAGGGAGGTCACTATATATAGGTCACTGCTACCTAGCCTGTAGGCTGACGGTGTATAGGGAGAAAGCTGAGGAGAGTCATCCCATAGAGAAGGAAGGTAGGTCACTATAGATAGGTCACTGCGACCTAGCCTGTAGGCTGACTGTATAGGGAGAAAGCTGAGAAGAGTCGTCCTATAGAGAAGGAAGGTAGGTCACTATATAGAGGTCACTGCTACCTAGCCTGTAGGCTGACGGTGTATAGGGAGAAAGCTGAGGAGAGGCGTCCTATAGAGAAGGAAGGGAGGTCACTATATATAGGTCACTGCTACCTAGCCTATAGGCTGACTGTATAGGGAGAAAGCTGAGGAGAGGCGTCCTATAGAGAAGGAAGGGAGGTCACTATATATAGGTCACTGCTACCTAGCCTGTAGGCTGACTGTATAGGGAGAAAGCTGAGGAGAGTTGTCTTATAGAGAAGGAAGATAGGTAACTATATATAGATCACTGCTACCTAGTCTGTAGCCTGACTATGTATAGGGAGTAGGCTTAGGAGAGTCGTCCTATAGAGAAGGAATGTAGGTCACTATATATAGGTCACTGCTACCTAGTCTGTAGGCTTACTGTCCACAGGAACATCATCGCCAATAAATCTATTTTGACTGATATTATCATCACCTATGAAATCATTATTTTTATTGGCCAAATTGAGATATTGTCATTTAAAATATCACTATAAATGGTGGTTTTAAGGTAAAGGGTACTGACAAGTTAAACTATAATTCATGTTTCAATTTTCAACTCTGTAGTATCTTTCTTTAAGTGTTTTTTACAAAGAAATATTTCATTAAAATCACATTTTGCCATGTATTTTACAGAATTATAGCTATTTCAAATTTTAATTAGGTAGGAGGGGGGGGGGGGGGGGGGAAGAAAAACAAGAAAATGTAGGAGTGGAACTTGAGACCTTTACACTGCAAAGCCTACCTTTCACCAATGATATTTTGTCTTTAGTATTTCTTTATATGCGACGCACAAGAATAATTGCTCTTTGTATCTCGTTTTAGATTTAATTCATCCATCATATTTTACGTTCTTTGTAGTTGTGACATACACACACACTTAATCACCTGTTCTCTTGAATCCAGTGGGGGAAAAACTATTGATAGAGCGTGGCAGTGAATGGTACGGAGAAAAAGCAGCTAGAGGTTGTCATGAAATATGGAGAGATAAAAGATCACAAAAAATGTGTCTGGCTATTTTCTCTATAACAGTCCTGCCTTAGAGAGAAATATAGCTTGGGTCATATTCACTGGTCAATGTAATCACTAGATATATGACATATAGTTATTGTGTGAAAGGTCCCATTCATCACTCAGCACACAAAGGGGGATAACTCTATTTCTTCTGGCATGATCAGGAATGAATTTTTTCAGTTTCGGCTGATTTCAGCCTTTTTCAGAATTTTAATGTGATACAAATATTTTAATTTGTCCCAAAGAAAGGGTAAGAAATCTAATTTTCAGTCTTTTTGTCCATAAGCCAATTTTTATCTCTGCATGATTTACTCTATAATACAGTAATAAAATGTTACTAAATTATTTCATGAAGTAAAATCTGTGTAAACCAAATATCAATATTCAAATTAGGGATTGAGCTTAATTGCAGGCACCCACCCTGTTCCCAGGACATTTACCTAAGTGGGGAGGGGGCTTATTTGCGAGAGAGGGGGCTTATTTGCGGTAAAATACGGTACACTGTCATTGTATTAGATATAAATTTTGTTCATTTCAATATTAAAATTTTAGTATTGAGCTGCTTTCAGGTTTCAATCAAGTCCAAACAAATGTTCACTAGATAAATGCATGAAACGCAAATGTGAAGCTCACTTGGTGTAAGTTTCTGGTACAAATATAATACCGTAATTGGCATTCAGACTGGCTGTGCATATATGTTTACATATATATGATTGTCATCAGAATGCCATATTTAGCTAAAAGCCACATTCCAGATTGGGAATATTATTTTAATCAGTTTAAAACAGATATTTTCTAATGTACAATACATGATTTACCCGTTTTATAAAAAAAATACCATCCATGATGACTATACAATACAATGAACTACACATGTATTATATTTACTTACTTTACTTACTTTACATTACTTGCAGAAATCCTTAAAATTACACTAAACAAAGTCAAGGGCAGACAACTTGGTATCAAACTAGTAGGCAAAAGGTGAGTTGCATTTTTTCTCCTTCTTTTTCTTTCTAAATGGAAAACATCTTACAATTTCTGAGGTTTTACTTTAAATGTTTATTCTTCAAGTAAGAGGCGTGATTTGAATAAAAACATTGTGCTTAAAAAATAGAATGATGCAAGGCAAGAATTTGCTACATCTGTTGGTTCTTTCTAGAAATGAAGTTTAATATGCTTTTGTGTGATAAATAAATTGTATATTGAGTTTTAATTTATTTGTGCTTTCAGAAGTGGCCCTGGTGTTTATATATTAAGTCTGGTAAGTATCTTTAAAAACTTTGAATGATGTGCTGAATATTTCAGCCTGAAACATAATTAACTAAAATTTGATTTATGTATCTCTCTGATTGTATTATGCAATATCATAATTTCCTGTCATAACTTTTCATTTGTAACTGCCTCTTATAACCAAATTGTTAAAAAAAATCTAAAAATTGTCAATACACAGCATTTGTAATTACCTTATTCTTGTTATTACCTTATTAGCGCCCAGCATTCAGAAAATGATGATGCTCAAGAATAATCACCTTGTGTATAACATCCATCTGTCTTTTTTTTTATTTTCCTGCATTAACATGTTTAAACATTATCCCATTTTGATAAAATGGTGTAACATGTACATTTTACAAAGACTATATGGCTGAGCTTGAATTTGCGCTCCGATTGGTCAGTGGTTCCACACAAAAAGTAATGAAATTTGATTGGATTCTGATGTAACTTGGTCAATGTTTATACTATGCAAAGATAAAAGCTAAGTTTAATTTTGAGCCAGGTCCACATGCTAGCAATGACAATTGGATGTTTTACATAGGAAGGGAAGTAACTCTTGTAATCTCTTAGGATGTTCAGAACAATTTAAAGAAAAGTGAGTCAAGCTAATTTAGTATTTACTTTAAAATAGTACTTGGAATTCAAAACTAGTTAGGGCCCCGTA